TGGTGAGGTGGGAGATTTGTACTGGGTAAAAGGGATTCTGAATAAGGAAGATTATCACTCCATTTTACAACCCCATGCCATACCCAGTGGACAGCGCTTGATTGAAGCCAATTTCATCCTACAACAGGACAATGACCCTAAACACACCTCCAAATTGTGCAAGAACTATTTAGAGCAGAAGCAGGCAGCTGGTATTCTATCGGTAATGGAGTGGTCAGGGCAGTCACCAGATCTGAACCCCATTGAGCTGTTGTGGGAGCAGTTGACCGTATGGTACGCAAGAAGTGCCCATCCAACCAATCCAGCTGGTGGGAGCTGCTTCTGGAAGCGTGGGGTGCAAATTTCTCCAGATTACCTCAACAAATTAACAGCTAGAAAGCCAAAGGTCTGCAATGCTGGAATTGCTGCAAATGGAGGATTCTTTGACGAAAGCAAAGTTTGATGTAAAAAAAAAAAATCTTATTACAAATACAAATCATTGTTTCTAACCTTGTCAATGTCTTGATTCTATTTTCTATTCATTTCACAACGTATGGTGGTGAATAAGTGTGACTTTTCAGGAAAACACAAAATTGTTTGGGTGACCCCAAACTTTTGAACGGTAGTGTATATGGAACAGATTCTGTTGGTAAACACAGCAGCGTGACAGAAGCTGGATGGGGGGCACAGCAGGAGGCAAGAAAAAAACTTCAATAATAGAGCGAATTTTGTTCCACTATTGCTGCCAGCAAGTAAGCTGTGCTTATAATAATAATAATTATTGAACTTTATTGATCTCACATTGGAGAAATTTACTTTTGCATTTAACCCATTCCCTTCTGAGCAGTGGGCTGCCATTGTGCGGCGCCCAGGGAGCAATGTGGGGTTAAGGGTCTTGCTCAGGGACCCAGAGTGGCAGGCTGTGGGAGTGGTGCTTTGGTCCATGGAACGAACAATTATATGTGCCAGAGTTTAACGGGTGGCTGAATGCTCACGGGTTCTCCTGTTCTGCAGCTCCTGGACCTCTTCATGGTTTGGGATTGGTCCACCTACCTGGCCGACTATGGGCAGCCGAACTCCAAGTACCTGAGAGTGAACCCAGCCACCGCTCTGGCTCTGCTAGAAAAGTAAGTGGGCCGACGCAGGAAGGACTGCTGGGTGGGGTACCGGCTCAGCAGGTTGGTTTCCACCAGAAATGAAGAAGCCTTTTAGGATGGGTTCTGATGGAATCCAACCTGAAGCTGAACTTCTACAGAGCTGCTCTGTTTGAGGGAAGACATCAGAGGGAAGGAGACGCTGTTTAAACTAAGTGGACCTGAGGTGGGAGAGGTTTATACCAGAGCTCTGGGTTCTGGGAACTTCTGCCTCTTTCCAAGCTGCTCTTCTGTTCCTCTAAAGCTTTTTTTCTTCTTCTGTTTTCCTGCTGCTGCTGCTGCTCAGAGTCTACCGAGGGTAGGTCACCGTTTAGCTGCATGCTCAGGTTCACCATCACTGTCAGCTTTCTTCTTCCTCCATGGTGCCGTTCATCATGGAGCCCAGCAGGTTTCATTTACATGGAAATCATGTTAATGTTTCGCAGCGCCAGAAACCAGACTGGAGAATTATGGAGGGAATATCCTTCCATTATTATTGTAGGCATTTTTTTAGATTCAAATTTGGAAAAAAAAATTAATCTAGAAAGGAAACTTTCAGAAAATAAATTGGGATTAGCTTTGATGTTTTCTCAGATTTTTTTCATTAAAATTTATTTTGTGAGATTTATTTTTTATGTTTGATTTTTTTCATTAATTTTTCCCCCAAATTTAGTTTTTATTTTAAGTTTTTTTTTTTTTTTTTTTACATTTTTCAAATTTCTCTTTTTCAGATTGAGTTTTGTGAATTGCACTCTTCAATTCAGTTTATTTCTATAGCGCCAATTCACATCATGTCAT